CCACCATCGTCGAACCCCAGATCGAAGCTCACCATCGCCGAGACCCCCAAAAACCCAAACCTACCACTGCCGACATCCCCTAATTCCAACCTCACCACCACCGCACCCCCTAAACAAAAACCACCTACTCAACCCGAAACCAAAAACCCCCAAACAACCCGAAACCACCCCCTGAACTCGAAAACCACCGGAAATCAAACCCCCACTCAACCAAAACCACCAAAAATTAAACCACCGTACCCATCCTAGAACCACAATAGCCCTAGCCCATTTTGAAACCTCCCCTAAACCCCCCACTCATCTCGAAACCAGAAATCCCCACTCAACCCGAAATCATCGGAAATCAAACCACCCAGCTCTCAAACCATTAGATCTAAACAACAGGTGGATGAGGCGACGTTGTAGCGGTGTTTAAAGGCGGCGATGTTGTAGGTGGTGGTTAGAATGGCGGCGGCGACATCGATATTGAAGGTGGTGTTCGAATGAGTTATTGGAAGATGAATATGATGGTGGAATGATTTGTTGGGTTGGATTTTTTATTGAATTAGTATGGGTAAATTGGAATTGGGTGAGAATAGTTATGTTAAATAAGTGAAATTATTAATTTAATGAGTTGTAATTAAATTATCTAAGTGTGTTTCTAACATTATTGTTAAGGGTATTTTTGTACTCTTATTTAAAAAAATTACCAAAAAAGGAAAGAAATTGGAAAGTTGCAAGTAATTGGAAGCATCCTAAAATGGCAAAAGTTGCAAGTAATAATTAACGGAGGTAGTATATTTTACTTGAACCCTTGTCCGACATGGAATAAGTTTAGCCCAATATATAGGCCTTGTTTGGTAGTTAGCTTATTGGGGGTATATTAGCTTATTTGACTAACTTTAGCTGATTGACTAGTCAAACAAGTTAATACAAGTGTTTGGTACTAAGCTTATTGAAAAAGCTTATTCCACTAAATAATCTCTTTTTGAAAAAGCTCATTTTAGGAGCTTTTTCAATTAGCTTATTCATTAATTATTGTGAAATTACACTTATAACCTCATTTAATTTAAAATCCTATCTAAACTACCTACCCCACAATTAGCTTATTGGTCATTTTACATACTCAATCACCTTTAAGCTATCAGCTATTTACCAAACACTTTTATATAATCAGTTAATACAATGGCCCTGTTTGGTAGTTAGCTTATTGGGGGTATATTAGCTTATTTGACTAACTTTAGCTGATTGACTAGTCAAACAAGCTAATACAAGTGTTTGGTACTAAGCTTATTGAAAAAGCTTATTCCACTAAATAAGCTCTTTTTGAAAAAGCTCATTTTAGGAGCTTTTTCAATTAGCTTATTCATTAATTATTGTGAAATTACACTTATAACCTCATTTAATTTAAAATCCTATCTAAACTACCTACCCCGCAATTAGCTTATTGGTAATTTTACATACTCATTCACCTTTAAGCTATCAGCTATTTACCAAACACTTTTATATAATCAGTTAATACAATAAGTTAGTCAAATCAGTTAATAAAATCAGGTAGTCAAAATCAGCTAACTCAATCAGCTTCAGCTTTCAGCTTTCTCCCAAACAGGGCCAATAAGTTAGTCAAATCAGTTAATTAAATCAGGTAGTCAAAATCAGCTAACTCAATCAGCTTCAGCTTTCAGCTTTCTCCCAAACAGGGCCAATAAGTTAGTCAAATCAGTTAATTAAATCAGCTAGTCAAAATCAGTTAACTCAATTAGCTTCAGCTTTCAGCTTTCTCCCAAACAGGGCCATAGGCTCTGTTTGGTAGTTAGCTTATTGGGGGTATATTAGCTTATTTGACTAACTTTAGTTGATTGACTAGTCAAACAAGCTAATACAAGTGTTTGGTAGTAAGTTTATTGAAAGAGCTTATTCCACTTAATAAGCTCTTTTTGAAAAAGCTCATTTTAGGAGCTTTTTCAATTAGCTTATTCATTAATTATTGTGAAATGACACTTATAACCTCATTTAATTTAAAATCCTATCTAAACTACCTACCTCACAATTAGCTTATTGGTCATTTCACATACTCAATCACCTTTAAGCTATCAGCTATTTGCCAAACATTTTTATATAATCAGTTAATACAATAAGTTAGTTAAATCAGTTAATAAAATCAGCTAGTCAAAATCAACTAACTCAATCAGCTTTCAGCTTTCTCCCAAACAGGGCCATAATCATTAATAACGTATGTAAAATGTTAAAAACTAATCTAACTAAAATAACCCGACTTAATTCGGAATGGCAAAGTGATCCAATCTAAAATTTGATTTATGTCAACACAAAAACTTAACATGGCTCCAAAATGATCAACCCCAAAAAAAAAAGAAAAAAAAAAAAAAAAAACCCAATTAAAGTGACCTTTATTGAGCCCATAAACAACCCACATATGAGCATTCTCTTGTCCTACACTAAAAAACTAAAGGTACAGTGTAGTGTAGACCTGATCAATGGGCGGGCTGGAGCCTAGCTTCGGGCCAAAATTTTCATGCCCAAACCCGCCCAAAATGGACGGGCCGTGCGGGCTTTTCGGGCCGGGCCAAAAAATTGAACTACAAATAGCTTAAAAATGCATTCCTAAGCCCGCCCAAAAAATTAAAAAATCGGGCCGGCCAGACCCGACCCGATTTCGGGCCGGAAAATGCTGCCCAAAACCTGGCCAAAATCAGGTCGGGTCGGGCCAGCAGGCCGGGCTTGTTTTGATCAGCTCTAGTGTAGTGGTAATGAAATCCTACATTGAAAGAATTCAAGTGTTACCATCACTATATAAGGCTAAGGGGCTACTCCCCTTATTGTCATTTGGTTTTAAGGTGAAACCTCCTTGGACTTGTGAAGTGGTGGTCTGGTGGACTTGCACTCTCCCGTGACGGGTGTGGCCCAGACTTGTATTTGACACACTTATACTTGTTAGGAGTGTAATTTAGTGGGTCATGTGCTTTAAATAAGGGAAATGGTATAGTTTTTTCCTAAAGTAACTTTTCTTTTATAGTGTGTTGCAAGTATTGTGACATTTCCTTTTTAGGGAAGTGTTGCAAGTAAAAGAAAACGGAGGAAGTAGTCCATAGTATCCATTAAAGCTTTTTTTTTTTTTTTTTAAATGAGCCAAAATTTAGTTATATATTGAAAACTGACTACCTAAACTAAAATCAATTTTAATTGAATCATTTTGGAATCTAAAGTGGGTGGGTCCTTTCAATTTCGAATCTGGTATCAGGTTTGGGTACTTGACTTTTTTTTTCTTTAAAGAAAGCAAACCATGGTAATACGATATGACAGTAACGACGGTAAAACAAAAAGGAAGGAACATTTGTACAAGTATATATATAACTGATTTATTAAGCGATTAAGACATATTATCGTCCATAGTACTGACATAGTGACATTTAACAAATTTGGACTATGCCTTTAATTAAGATCATTTCAACGGTGTATTTTAACTCCTACTCATATATAACATATTGCTGCTGGAATCTTCATGGCCACATTCTCATCTCTTTTTCACCTTTTTAATTTTCTACTTCAACAACATGCTATGTAGATCATAGCATTAAAAAAAAAAAAAAAAAAAAAAAAAAACATACTATGTAGATCAAAAGAAAGCATAATTTATACGCTCCATATGCAAACCAATTACGAGTACTTAACGAAATACTTCCTCTATTTTTTAAATAAATTTTATTGTCTTTTACACTATTTATATAGTAATCTTTTTGTTCAGATACATTCTTTTTTGTTAGAGTGATCTCCATGGAAATTGCTAAAAAAAATAATCAAATTTTCACAATTATGCTACTTTTTATTAAAATTCCCTACATTTATCTCCATACCCAATATCTACTTATTATAGAACGGTATGAGTAATAAATAATTAAGATACTTATTTACTCATTTTCTATTAAAAATATTCCCAAAAAAAAAAAAAAAGATTATTAAAGAAAGAACTCACTATCAAAAGTACCAAATAGTAACACACTATAACACTAGGTTGTAATTCAACTATTCATATATGAAAAAAAAAATGTAATGCAACCATTCATACTGGTACAAAAAGTTGCATATCCTTTTTTTTGTTTTTTTATGTATCATACATAGTGGTTTTGAAATTTATTAGCTATCCACATCACTTAGATGGTAAGTATCATATGTTTATTTGACAAGGTTAGAAGACTTTGAACTTTAAAACTGTTGCGAGTCTTGTGAGCAATAAAAAAAAAAATCATGGACCACCCGGAAATTAAATTAAATTTCTGAGATGATAACAAGTGTAAGAAATAATCAAGTGCCAAGAGAAGCAGACAAAACAAAAGTCATGGACTCATCACTCATAGAAGATGCAGCCACAACAACGAGCTCATACATATTGCTGCGAAATCATTCAAAGAAAACATAAACCAAAGTAGCTATAATTCTACATTTAACCAATATCTCGTCTGTAAGCCAAAACATAAACCAAAGTAGCAATGAATCCTACACTTAGCCACACCTGCACCATTCCGATGAATCGGATGACAGCATGACCAAGATAAGGCTCAAGCCATAGTCGCCAAGTGACAGTCTATTTCACGTGGTTTATTCCTGAAGGATACAACAAGAAGATAATATCCCGTGTATATACACAAATTTTTCCCCAACATTTATAAAAAGTAGTAGTAATAGGTCACTAAGACTGTCAAAAAAAACATAGATACACATAAATCTCAATAGAAACTTGAATGATGGTATTAAATTTTACAGACAGGGGTAGCAGAAAAAGGGAAAAAAATACATATAATAGTGATAAAGAAAAAATTTCCTAAATAAATCAACTACTTACACCTATAACAATTACAATACAACATGAATATAATAATAATTAAAAAAAATATCAAAAAATAAAAAAAAAATATCAAAAAAAAAAAAGAAAAAAAAAAAGAACTTATGAACGAAATCCATCAATTTATAGCATAACTTGAACAACGGAACCTGCAAGAGAAAAAGAGAGGAAAACAAAAAGGAGGAATTCGCATTGCAAGGCCTATGGCATTATTATACCATCATTATTTACAGCCCAAAAGCATAAAAATCAAGATGCAAAACCAATCTAGAGGGGATTTTGAATGGATACATCACATGTACTGCTATAAAACAAGTTAGAAACACAAAATTTACACTTACAATTTGACAAATTCCCCACCAAAAAATGTCACATAATTTTACAATTGGATTTATCTTTTGATTTTTGATCTTGCCTCGGGGTAGATGATGACGATGTTGCTTTTGCACTACTTCGGGGAACCTAGAACACCATCATAATTCACTTGGTCATACACTAAAACAAACTACTAAAACATAACACAAATTACATAAATAATAATAATAAAAAAAAATTAAAAAAAATAGATATAAATGTTAAAAATTTACAATAATCAAATGGTTATAAGCTTTTAAATCAATAATAACAAGTAAATTCATCTTAATAATGATAAAACATATAATCTTTAATGTGTTTTAGTAAACCTGAATGGACAAAATACCAACATTAATTATGATTCTATTCCACAAATTGGAAGCTCCAATTTCTATGTCATCAAATTACAAAATCAAAGAACTTCAAACAACACATAAAAGGGTTTTTTCTTTTCTTCTTTTGGACAAAAATAAGTCAAGACAATTTACATTCAAAATTCTCTCTATTCAAGAAAAATCCAAAATTTCAAAGCAAAATAAATCCTAATATGAATCTCAATGATATACTTCCTCTATTCCACTTTAGTTAACATGTTTTTTTTCATCTTTGCAAAAGTAAAAGTTAAATGATTAATATCTCTAATTATTTATAAGTAAAAATTATAAAAAGTTCGATATTATAAAAGTATGCTATGAGACAATACTAACAAGATCCCACATAACTAGGTTTTATCAGAACTACAAATAACAAAGCGGGTCAAAATATTATATATGTCACTATAAATGTAAGTTGATAACAAAACATCTTTCCACATTAGATGGGGAGACCATGTATCCTTTGATAATATTATGTAACCAAAACACACTTCATTATATTTGTCTGGAACGAGAACCCTCAACAGATTACATATACAAATACTCCTACACTAAAGACTAACAACTCCAATAAATAGGGAGACAATCATACAATTACAAAAACATCTTAATTAATAAATATTCTAAGATCAATTTTAGTCACTAATATATGTGATAATCAATGAATAAAAGTTATACTAATTTGATAACATAAAAGTATAAATTGAGGTAAATCTAACCAGAGCCACATGACTAATTTTCATAAACCATAAATCACAAAAAATAGTCAGAGTAGAGTATGTGAATAGTGCAAAATGTATTGCTAAAAAGAAACGGAGAAGAAAAAACAATCTCATGCAATGATATTTCATATATGAAATAGTGTAAATTGTCAAAAGGTGTCAATTAAAAAAGAACAAAGGAAGTATATGTCACTATAAATGTAAGTTGATAACAAAACATCTTTCCACATTAGATGGGGAGACCGTGTATCCTTTGATATAAATATTATGTAACCAAAACACACTTCATTATATTTGTCTGGAACGAGAACCCTCAACAGATTACATATACAAATACTCCTACACTAAAGACTAACAACTCCAATAAATAGGGAGACAATCATACAATTACAAAAACATCTTAATTAATAAATATTCTAAGATCAATTTTAGTCACTAATATATGTGATAATCAATGAATAAAAGTTATACTAATTTGATAACATAAAAGTATAAATTGAGGTAAATCTAACCAGAGCCACATGACTAATTTTCATAAACCATAAATCACAAAAAATAGTCAGAGTAGAGTATGTGAATAGTGCAAAATGTATTGCTAAACAGAAACAGAGAAGAAAAAACAATCTCATGCAATGATAATTCATAAATTACAAAATTTCATAAATTACAGTAATTTTGTAATTTTATAAATTGAGCATTCACTAAAGATTATGACTTGAGAAGCACTTGAATTAGATGATGGAATGAATAGGGTAGGTGTTGAGTCTTGAGTGTCATGATAGCTTTGAACACTTTCCTTTAATAAACCAAATGAACATAACTATAAGGGTTAGGTTGTGTCCGTACGGCTATTTTAAATGAATGATTCAATTAGCACATTCAGTGACATAAATTTTTGTCATACCTAATAGTCCAAATAGCTAGTAACTATGTTCATTTAAAAATTCTTTTTCACTACTTCAAAATCTCATGCCAAGTTTATTTTACCAAGCCACCACAAGAAGTTGCATATCTTGTACGGCAGGCTGTGGGGGCAATGGTACCCAACAAATTACACACTTTTGTTAGTCTATTGAGCATTAATATCAAAGATTAAACAGAGCAATCAGCTTCTTATTTTTCATCGTTATTGAATTTCCCTCTCACCTGGGAACCTGTTATAAGCCTAGAACTGCCAGCACTAGAAGCTTGTTGTGGAGGATTCCGCTGCTGCTGCTGCTGCTCAAACTCCTGTTGTTGCAAAGCGATTGCCAATTGTAGATCGGAACTGTCAAGATGCACAGAAAAAAATTATTAACCCCAAATGAAAAATAAAAAGAAAATGTTTGACTAAAGCAACCAAACTATACCTAGCAGAACAAACAATACAGTACAGAACAGAATGACTTATCAAATCATAGAGCACAAAAGGCTATAGGAGAAACAAAAAGTTATTATTTAGTTAGAATAATTACTTCATATTTGAGTCATTCGTTGTTGAGTTATCAATGCTGGCCAGATAGTCCTGAGAAAAAGAAAGAATTAGCAACAGAAATCACAAAATGACAAGTCCTGCTCTTCAGGGAGAATTAAATCAAACATAAATGCATTCAAGCAAAGCTAGTTGAATCGAATGAAAGAGAACTACATTAATATATATATATATATATATATATATATATATATATATACACACACACACACGTGCACTTTACCCTCATTCCATTACCCCCTCCCCCACACACAAAAAAAAAGGTAAAAAAAAAAAAAAAGAACAGTAAAGAATTCAAATCATTCACATATTAAATCAAATAGGAGAGCAACATTGCCAATAGTAAGACGATTATCTCCAACACCATTCAAATTTAGTTTCATCTAATTGGTCTTTTACATGTATGTCCACAAGCTAGTAAAGGCTAACACTAATAGCAGGTAGCCAGATATAAGCATATATACTTCAGGTAATAATGTATAGTTCAGTTGTACACATGAGCACAGCACGACCAAGAGAAGAAAACATAGAGATGGAAAATTCAAAGATAAAGGGACATACAGCAGTATTAGCTACAGCATTCTGTTGATCCCATGTACCATTTGAACTGCTTTCCAGCCTAAATTCCTTGAAATTACTAGTCATGAACAGTGTATCTCCATTGACCTGCAGAGATTTGTTGACATGAACATAAGTTACACTATTAGGGTTAAAAAAGAGAGAAATGAGGATGGGAGGAAGAGAGAGAGCAAGCAAAAGAAGCCATGTATAGATTGACAATGAAAAGAAATGAACAATTATTTCCTACTGCATAGTAGGATTTGCCTGCATTTGAATTATAATTCATCACCTCTTGGCTTTTGGTAATCAAAGTCTCAAAGATATGTAAATACATTCAGCAAACATATTAAACACATTATAATTTAAAAAATATTTGAGCATCTCAGCCAGATATATAACAAAAAAAAAAAGAAAAAGAAAAAAGGATGTCTCAAACATAGTTCCTATCACACATCATCTTTGCAACAAGATACTCTGTCATGCAGACATAGGGCCAACAGCTCATCACTGCAACAAGACAGTTTGTCATGCATACATGATACCAACAGCATTTGCCATTTTATCTTTCAAATCTTTCATATAATTGGAAATCCAGGGGATTGCATTGGTTGACTGTAAAGGCAGGGGATTCCTTTGCAGATCAAATACCTAATATAACTTAGTTTTCCTCTGCTACTTATTAAATAGCTGTAAAATAAATAGTAGCAACTCATTGCCCTTAACATCTAATAAGTATTGCTTTGGCAGAAACAGCATTACAGCAGTAAGCAATTTCATGGGTCAGGGGCTTCATATGGCTGGCACATTCAAACCCCCAACACACAACTCACAGCCTTAAGCACTTTATAATCAGCATACTATGATTGCAAAGCTTGCGCCTCACAAGGGTCTTCTCCCCTACTAATCATACCAAGGGGAATAATATTGCTGAAATAGAACTAAAATTTTGGGCAAACAAATAGTGTTGCAAATTGTGTTTTATTGATGACCACAACTAAATATAATTCCTTTTTTCTTTTATTTATTATTATTGCATCATTATGTGTTTAACTTTACATTTGACAATGCACAACTTATACCAATAATATCTTAAAATAAAGGTTAAGATTATGAAAAAATATATATCAAACTTTACAATTATATCAGAAAAGATGGTTAAGGAGGAGTGTGTGAATAGAGTAAGAGTCCAAGTGAAACAACAGAAACAAAGGAGGCAATAAGAAAAATAAAATTAAAAATCAAAGACAAACAGATAATCCTCAGAATAGAAAACAATTTGTTACCTCATTCAACTTTTCCCAAACTAAGTCAGGCTGATTCATGTATCCTTGATCTGTGGCTAAAAGATAGAGTTCACCATCCAGCTGCAACAAGCAAGAGAATAATGAAATTATCTGACAATGAAAAGCCAAGGACAAATAAGCAAAATTCACACTATGTGAAGATATACATATACACAAACCTTAAACATTGTGCTGAAATGATTATTTCGAAAAAAAACACAAAGCTTATGGTCATCGAGACCAGCTTGCAAGCAAAATAAGCTGTACAAAAAAACAAAACAAACTGGAATAAGGGAAAAAGTAACTTCACTCTCAAAAGAACAGGAGCAAATCAACAACAAAAACATGCATTATACCCATAAAAAGTCAACTGGTTGGCATTGCTTTTCAAAAAGTTGTCAATAAGTTCCCCTGAAATGGAGAGGAAACATAATTACAACTTTACAAGTGGAAGAAAAATAGCCTTATGTATAGTACTAGCATGGAAATTGAAAATTAAAATTATAATCAGAAATCACTAAATTCAAAATTAAATGTACCCTGTCTAAGTGATATTCCATGCTTGGGACTCACATCAGAGGCATCTTTAACTCCATTGTCAGCCTGTTCAGCCAAAACCACCTCACCTTCATAGACAGGTTCTCGATCTTCACAGAGTGTTTTTACTGGATCCAGGATACACTCCTCCCCTTCATATATAGGTTCACTTCCATCAAGACTCGACGTAAAAGATTCAACTGCTTCAATGCTGGGCATTGAGCCACTAGATGGCTCATAATCAGCATGACCTGCAATCTGACTAGAAGTTTGTTCTAAAGATAGTTTATGCAACCCCTCACTGACATCAATTACAGGAGTAGACAAGCTTTCAGCTTCTTGATCATTTACTGCATCTTTTGCTGGAGTAGTGTCACTAAGAATCGCTGTGTCAAGCTTGCATTCTGCCAAATCATTTGACAAGGAAACTTCTCCAAGCAATGTAGGAAATAATTGGTCATCATCTTTTTCAGATGAAACTAATTTTCTATCAAAATGGTCATGCACTTCATCATTGCCTGATACAGAAGGCTCTACATCTAATGGTCCATTGGTGCTATGTCCTTCACATACATGAGCAGAATTAACAAGTGACTTCGACACATGCACATTCTCATCAAAAGATATCACTACATCTCCTGCAGGGACTGCTTCTATATTAGAAGGTAGATCGACCTTCGATAATTTCAACACTTCTAACAATTGTGCCTCTTCCTCAGCATCTCTTTTTCCAAATATTTGTTGATCAGAAGCAGAACGTGGAGACTCGTCAAAAGACTTAGCCCTTGAAAGACTAGGTGAAGGAACACCCAAGGCTGCAGTAGTTGCAGCCGCAAAATCAATGCAGTCTTCATCAGATTTATCCTTTCCCACATTCTCCATTTTCCATGTTTCCAAGGCAACAAGATCCCCCATAAGAGTATTATAAGATTTTGATCCAATTGCTTCAGCAGTCTCATGATCCTAGCACCCATAGATACACAGACATTATGCCAAAGGGAACAAGGAAGAAGTAACAACAACAAAAACAAAAATCATATTTGAATCTCGAATCTCATAAAGCATCATATAGCAACTATCATATCATCAAATGTATATACTACACATTCCCTTAAGAAATATAAACAATAGTCTTTAAAGAGTAACATTAAAGCATAATTTATAGTGTTAGACCCAAAAAAAACATAGGTATGACTTGAGAGTTTCTTGATAAAAATAAAAATAAAAATAAAATAAAGATCCATACAATTAAAAGATAGGCTTGTCAAGAAGTGGCAGCATTGCCTTATCTGCCTGAAAGGACATTATCTACATACAAGTTACAATAATATATGTGGCCACTAGTTGATAAGGGAAAGAGAACTAAGTGCAGTCTATGTTTCATAAAATTTCCATTCCCTTGTTCCAATTTTTCCCCCTTCTAGATGGGGTTTGGGGTCCCATCACTTTGGATTTTCTTGAAAAAAAAAAAAAACATAAAGCACCAAAGTTCAGAACTAAACTTATACCCATGATAAAGCACCAATAGAGGTGGCCAAAGAAATTTGGCCAACAGAGAGTTCCAAAAATTGCCCTTCTCACTGATCAGCACTCTGATTGTAATTTGAGATCAAACATAACCATTTCTAGTTAATTCTTAAACACCCCTGTGTTGTTTGCGAGACCACTATAGCCACTTACACAGTACAAGCATCTCCATGCAGCCATGCTCGTATGAAAAATTTGTTAAAAACAGTTCTAATGAGCTTAAATACATGACCATCAGCTAGAAAACTGGCTTTAAACCAAATATTTGTGAGTTGAATCCCAATTGTACCAGAACCTATCTGAAAATTCTTGGTTATAAAAGAAAGAGGGGGTGGCAGGGAGTAAAATCTGACTCAAACCAGCCCAACCAACCCATATGGTTACTATCAAGGCTTCCATGTAAACCAATCTGAGCACGGATAGTGGGATAAGAAATTGGGGTGGAAAGTAGTGAAATTGGCAACCTCAACAGTCTTCACCCAAGAATAGAAATTGATTAAACATCCATGGCCAATTGTCCAGCCCCTCTAGCCTGTTCACAAAGCAATCATTGTGGATGAAGCAAATGGCCTTTAGGAGAGCCAATAGCAAATGAGGTAGAGTTGTAGTGTAGAACATCTCAGGGGTAGAGGTTGATGAAGGCAATTGGGGAATAGAAACAATAGCAGCCTATTGAGAAGGTGTTAAGTGGCAAGGAACAAACTTAATGAGAAGGCGGCAAGTGGCAAGGAACAAGCCTAATGAGTAAATTAGAACCTAAACTCTTTATTTAATAGCTTACATGACTTTGTATCTTGATTACCCTAAAATTCTTCTCTTTCTCTGGTTTGAACAAATAACTCCTTAGATTAACACATTCATCACAAGTCATATTCATAGAAGCACCACAACAAAAGCAAAACAGCATATATAAGTCATTGCCAGTATTAGACTAACACTATGCCCTTAAAAATCATACATGCATAAAATATCCACAATAAAAGAAGCATACCTGAGGATCAACTAACCAACCATGATACAATGGGATACCCAGAAGATCAAATATTGCACACTCTGGAGTAAACTCAAAAGCATCAATCCTGTGAAATGCAGGCCAATTAAATTAATGAAAAATAAGAGAAGACCAATGCATAAGAAAACCAAAGGATAATAATTACCATGATAAACTTGAAAAAAGAATAAAAATCAGACCTATCAAATTTGACATTTACATCAATGCCAGTCGTAAGCCGTGGCAGCAAGTTTATCGCATCAGAAATATTTTGTTGTTGGTTTTCAACATAACCTGCATCTTTATTCTGCAATCCATTGAGTTAGTTATAACTACCAACAAACACGAAATGCAAAAGTGATTTTGAAATCATACAGACAAGATATTTACATTGTTATTGTTGTCTGAATCAAGCAATCTCTCAGCAACTAATGAAAGTAGCTTCTCCTGTGAAACTTCACTTACATCAGCACTCAAATTCAATTCATTCCTCAACAGCAGTACATTACCTACATAAGCCCAAAACACCTTATCAGTAAAATCAGGGCTCTTCTTCCTACCCACAGCATAAAAATGCCATATACCAACATCTCCTCCTCAAAGATTACAGTGGCAGTTATATATCCCCATTATTTTCCATAAATTTCAATAAGTAACATAATTATTTCAATAGAATACATTAATTAACATAATTCTCATTCAAGAAACTCAATTATAAACTAAATTTTTTCCTATTATAAACATTGACATAATCACCAGTATTTTCCACATTAGAAAAACTCTATCCACATCAATACTCCAATGCTCAACCAAAAGGCGCCACAAACGTAAGCGAATCCTAATTTTGCAAATTCTTCAATCAAATTACTTTGCCAGTTTTCTAAGAAACATCAAGATTCTCACTCGACATCCGAAAACAAGCAATTCATACATTCAGGTCCTTCACCACACAAAATCAAAGAAAACGTCCTTATTACACAACTCAATCAACCACGAAAATTCCTTAATCCTAACCAAAACAACAACAAAACCTAATCAGAAACACAGAAATCAACAATTGAAAACAACAAACAACTTCCAAAACAAGCATTTCAGATCAGAAAACAAAATTAGGTTTCCGGCGAAAAATCACACAAGTCTTGAACCAAATCAATTCAACAAATCCAATCAATCAACAAACACAATCAAGAAAAACACGAAACCCTAGAAATGGAGGAGAGAGATTACAGATAGCGATGAGAGGACAAGGTCCATTGTCGTTTTGAAGAATAATAGGAGTAGAACGACCGAAGAAATTGATTGTCTTGGTTTTGTGAAGAACACTTTCAGAAGCAGTTTCATCTGAAGATTGTTGTTGTTCTTGAGGTTGTTTTTGTTGATGTTGTTCATCCGAAGAAGAAGCCATGGCCGACCTCTGTGGTGTTAGCTTAGGAGGAGAGAGAAAAAAGAGAGAAAAAATAGTTTTAAATTTTGATGTTTATTTATGTTAGTAGTGGATTTTGAAAGAAAGGAAAGAAGATTGAATTGAAATGTTCAAGTTTAAAGTGTTTTTCCGTGATTAAAGTTTGGCTCTAAAATAAAACGAGTTTGTAGTACGTGCGGGTTTGTGAGAGAGTCTCGGGTAACAATTAGTTTTGGACTTTTGGTACCTCTTTTAAGGCCCTGTTTGGTGGTAATGGTTAGCGTTTTGACCAGTCAAAATAATACTAGAAAAAATTTGGGAGTGTTTGGCAAGATAGCGATTTTAGTAACGGTTAGCGATAGAGGTAGCGTTTAAGTAGCTTTTGTCAAATGTTAAAAATAGTAACGTTTAGAAGTAGCAGATAGCGTTTGATAAATTTTTATTAATTTTAAAACAATGTTTTTATGAATTTTGATATATTTTGGTGTTGCAATCACTACTTTTGTCAAACACTCATACTATCAACCATTACTTTGACAGCTAACCTCTACCCACTACTAATTGATTGTTACTCGCTATCTTAACAGCTACCCGCTATTCGACCGCTAAAAACTACCCATTACCGCTACTTTTACCAAACAGGACGTAAGTGTGTGACCGATTATGAAATGGAAAAATGTGCAAAATGAATAAAATTATAATTTTGTAATATTGTAAATATCGATGCATTTAAATTAAAGACTAATTAAAAATTTGTTTAATTACTATGTAGACAATTTTGTAAAAGTATAATAGACTGCTTGAAAATCATACTCAACCAAAGAAATAAGGCACAAACTTTGTGGTCTACATATAGAAAACTTGAATGGAAGGAAATTCATTTGTTTTTGGAAAGTCTTTATGTTGAAGTATGACAAGTTTATTGAAAGTTATGTTATGTCATTATACTCTTATTCTAATATCGATCAATCCTTCCTTAGCAATTAAGCATTGACTATTAGGTTTGGTAGTTGTATTAAGATAATTGTATCATTCTCAACTTGCCATTATCATTTCATAAGTAGGGGTTAAAGTCTTGGTTGATATTAAGAAATGAGACTAAATTTTGTTTGTAGCTCTCTCTACACCATAAAATTATACTTGAGAAAATTGAAGGTGTTGAAATATAAGAGGTTACTTAATACAAAATATTAATCAAAGAGGGGAAACATTAAATAAACAAATATAAAAATATAGATGAAGTATTATTTCAGTATTGTATTTTTTTTCTTCATAGTAGCAATTAATTTTTAAAAATGCGAGTTTTTTAACAAGATGTCACTTAACTATGTTTACTTTTTTCTTTGTGGAAAACTTATTTTTACCTTTTCCTATGTTCTCAAGTGTTGATTAGTGTAACTGAGAAATTGTAAACACGGCCAATCATGCAAGTGTGAATATGTGATGATATACTCTCAGTTTGTTAAGCAAGGGTGCAAGAGTGATTGTGCCATCGCCCATCGGGCTGTCCAATACGGAGGTACAATTATTGGGCAATACAAGCTTAGCTCCGTATGGAGTATTAGAGACCCAATTTTGGTAGCTAAAAAAACTAAGCGAATTATGGGCTACATTTGTCAACTGGATGTGATGGGCCTTTGAATGTGCTTCATGTCCTCAATCAATCATGAAGGTCACAGTTTCTACGCCTGAAACTAGACGGCCTTGACCCAATAACATATTCCTCTTCTAAAAAAAAAAACTAAATGAGTAAATTGAAATAGATAGTCTATTTTTCAATGTTGATTTATAATCATACTTTAGGGCATGTTCACATTTATTTAATTTCAATTCAGTTCTATTCAGTTTAGTTCTATTCAGCTCCAATCAATTCAGTTCAGTTCAGTTCAGTTCAGCTCCTAATTTCCCTCTCTTATAAAATATTCATTTCAGTTCAATTCAGTTCGGTTCAACTTCTAATTTCCCTCTCTCATAAAATATTCAGTTCAGCTCCAATCAGCTCAGTTCAATTTAGTTCAGTAAATGTGAACAGACCCTTAATGTCTTTTAGGTTGCATTTGGTTATCTAGAATTCATTTGATACTGTTGAATCCAATACTAGAATTTTAAAGTCTAGATTTCAATTCCAATTTCTATGTTTAGGAAATTTGAGAATTTTAAATTTGGAATTTCAATTTCCAAAAAAAACTGTTTAGGAAAACATAAAATTCAAAAATTAGGGAAAAGGAAACGAGTCCCTTATGCTTTCAAAAATATAAAAAACGAGCCCCTTATGAGGATTTTAAATGACATCAAATGGCACTTGTAATTCATTAAACTTGACTTAAACCATTAAATGCTTGGATTTGGCCCAAATACAGATCCAAATTGTTGCATTATCCAAACAAGAAATTTGGCCCAAATTAGCATTACAAATGAGATTCACATTTCTAAAGAGGCCATCAAGGTATTAGGTGAGGTCATTTTCTCATTTACTCTAATTTTTAATTTTTCATACTGTATTACAGAGTAGTTTGTATGTAGAGCACTAAGAAGCATTTGACTTTCGACCTTTACAATAGTAAATTCTTCACTCGTTAACTAGGGAGCAATATGAATTAACTATTACCACTCTTGTATACTTGTATCTAACTATGAAATTAGGAGTTTTTGTTGTAGAAATGATATACGAAGTAAACAAGAGTAGAAATGATATACTTGAATAATCGGAGTATCTATGTACTTTAGATATTCACATAATATGAACTTTGTAGAATGAGAAATGAAAAAAAGCACTCATTAAAGGCACTATGAGGCTTGCATATACAGTACACACTCCAAAATTTCTTTGTGTTTTCAACAACGTTAACAATGAACGTCTCAACTTTTCTGGCAGCGTGAAAGCTAAAATAATACTTCGTAGATTTGTAGGTGTAATGTAGAGCTCGCTGATTTGATTCCTTTGTAATATGAACGGCCTTATCCTTTTGCAACTCTCTTACAACTCTTCCACTTTTCTAACTTTTGCTCCAAGATCATCATCATGACCATCATTTTCCTTTAATGTGTATGTTAGAGGATCAACGTAACCAAAAGTTTAATCTGATGGTTGAGCTCCAGAAATATGTTTTATACTCTACCAGTGGAGTTTACTTATAGTACTTAACTATTGCATTGGTATCTTCTTTCCCGTAATGAATCAAATAGATAATTAATTGATATATCCCATCTCTTGATACTTCTTCCACTTATATCATCTGGTTTTCAAGCTAGGCTCTTCTTCCTCTTTTATTCTCTATCTTTACAATTTTTAGAGCATAAAGTTTATGTGACTCTAACCTTTTACACTAAAATTAATCCCTGGTTTGTATAGGCGAATGTACACATCTGTTCCAAAAAATAAAAGGAAAGAACTTTTATAGAAATGTAATGAACATGTAGCCAAAATAAAAATAACATAATGGTTAAATGTAAAGAAAACATGCATCTTTTGATAAACTATTTTAAATGTTCATGTTCTTTTGATTGTAAATGTAATATACTTTTATTGTCACATAATGTTCATGACTGAACTTATTGTGAAATGTTTTATGATTTTTGTTTTTGGATCATGGTGGGTAAATATAATTGCTCATTATAAAATAGTATCATCTTCTTTATAATATTACGGATGTTCTTTAGTTTTAAAAATTAAACATCATCAATAGAAAGGAGATCCCAAAATGATATTGTCATCAACTACAAAATAATATTCAATTGATAAATATTTAGTTATTAAATGATAATCAATGTTGAAGAAAATGTAGAATTAATAAATAATATTTATTTTTAATAATATAATGATTAAAAATGATGTTAAAACTAATTAAAGAATATACTCCCTATTAAGGATGTTCATCGATCCAAGACCGGGCCGACCCGAACCAGGCTGAAGACCGAAATTTTTAATTTATGGAAACAAAAACCGGACTGATTAAGCTACAACCCAGTCCGGACCAGACCGCGCACTTTGGGTCTTTTTTAGAATATTATTTAAAAAAAGCTAAATTTTTAATAATACTATGGAATACTCGAAAAAGTATAGGAAAAACCCCACTTTAGTTTTTTTTTTGGTATGTTAAGTACAAAAAAGCTCATATAATTAAAGTATTCAAAGGTTATTACTCCGTAAGAATGATCTTCGTTTTTAAATACTTGTTCCACTTTTCATTTCCGGCCGTTTTTAAATACTTGCTCCATTTCTTAATTATTTAAAAATCTTTTACTATATTTAATTAATTTCTCTCAACTAGTAGACCCATCATAAATCATACTACCTCCGTTTTTTTTAGTTGACACGTTTCCTTTTGGGGTAAATTTTTTTACCTTGTATTTACAAGTTACCCCACTTGCTTTTTCATTCTCTCTCACTCTCTCTCCTCTCCTTAATATATGTGCCTAAATCAAACGCGTCAACTAAATAGAAACGGATCGGAGGAAGTATTTTATTAATTTCATATTCTCTCTCCTCCAATTCTCCCCACTTCTTTTTTGCTTTTTACAATTTTTTATTCTTCACTTATCCCACTATCTCCATATTATACTAATTTCTCCTAAAACTCCGCGCATGGAGAAATAGAGCAAGTATTGAGCGGGTATCAAAGATTTTATGTATAGATTAAAGGAAAAATTCAGTCAGGCCCAAGACCAGTTTTTATGGGGTTTTGGACCGGGCCGGGTCAAAAAAATTCTAAACCCAGAGACCGGACCAGTTAATTTGGTCTGGTCTAAGGTTGGTTCGGTCTGGTCCATGTCATTTTTTCCAGCTGCCGATTTTTGAACACCCCTACTCCCCATCCTTTTTATTAAGAGTCTTATTCCATTTTTGGTAACCACAATTTAGAATTTATTTCTACTTAAAGGTTGTACTTTTTGACAATATTATTGTCTTTTCTTTTGATATCAATTCTCAATACTATCTCTCACCCTCTCATTAACAACTTCCAACCACTTTTATTTCCATCTATCTCTCTCTAACCCCGCATGCATATTTGTACTCTCAATCATTAATTTTAATCTACAAATTTCTTAATTTCAGTGAAAACCTCTAAACAAGCTGTTATTAAAAAGGACGACGAGAGTATGTTTAAACAAAAAGCATGTGTCGTCCCTCAATACCTTAAAGAAAATAATAGC